ACACTGCTGAGGGGAGCAGCGGGCGGGTCAGGAGAGGTCTGGCTCGCCATGTGGTCTCCTCCGGGGCAGGTGGCAGGCGGGAATCGAACTCATGCAGAAGTGGCTTTAGCTTCTTAGTGCTGTGCTCTAACCCGCTGCACCACCAGGGAGGGCCCTGGGTTTCTTTTTATACCTTTTTTTATTTAGTCAAATTTAGCTCAGTTCAGGTAGAATTGTCACAGAATGGTTTGGAAATAAACTTGTTTTTTTAGTAGAAGGCAAAAGACTTGTATAATCTGAAGAGAAACCAGAGTATTTAATTTAATTTTTTAAATCAAGGGTTGACAAACCCTGATCTAAAGACTCAGTGTAAATATCAGTGATTTTTTTTTTTTTGGTTTCATGTGGAATATATTGCTACTAATTCTCTGAATTACCATTAACTTAATAGAAAAATTTCAGTATCTTTTCCCATTGTTGAATATATATTATATAAAAATATTTTATAAAAGTAACTAAACTCACAGTGAAAATTATTAGGGCCTGATTACTAAGTGGACATGTTGAAACTTACAAAACTTATTTAGCTTTTAAAACCTCTTGGACAGTAACATAATTTATTCCTTGATTTGCATTTCACCACTTATGAACACCCTGGGAAGACATTGGTACAAAGCGCACTGTCAATACTCAGTTACAAAATGATTTCTTGATTTATTGGAACAGTTTAAAATGACAGTAAAAAGAAGCATTTTCCTTCTGCTTTTTCTTGTTTGCCATGGTGGCTGGCTTAATGTTCTACTGCTTGATATTCTTCATATTCCTTTGACATATAGTGTGGAGTTTAGATTCCTCTGTGGGTCATTTGACAGGTGGTAACTGATTTTGTCTTGAGAAGGTCATTTCAATTTCTTGCAGGAGATACTGTATGATAACTGAGGCTAATCTAATAAAACTCTTAAAAACCAGCCGGAGAACAAGAAAATGATTTGTTTACGCATTTGTATATACATTCATCCAACAAACATTGAAGGTGTGCTGAGTTAGGTGCTATGTCCCCAAGGACTTCAGTCTGTTATTGGGCATGGACACAAAACAGACGATGGTATCAAGTGTAATGATTGGGCTTTTCACTATCTTTTAAAAAAATATTTATTTATTTATATATACAGAACTGGGGCACAAGCCTGAGGTGCAGGGGTGCAGAGACAGAGCAGGTAGCAGAACAGACAGATTGACAAAGTACACGCCTGAGAGGAGCAGCTGTGCCATGTGGATCACCTCCGGGGTGGGGAATCGAACTCGTACTGAAGTGACTGCGCTAGCTTGCAGTGATACTTCCTAACCATCCTAACCTGTCACACCACCAGGGAGGGAGGGCCCGAGTTACTCACTATCTTATGGGAAAAAAGGGGCAACTAAGACAACATGAGTAGGAAGGGTCTCTCTAGAGGCTAAATTCAGTTGAATATGTTCAGGGTATTCTGTAGGATGCTCAAGAAGAGAGGGCCAGTGGATGGATTTAATCTAAATTGCCAGATTGAGGGATGGGTTAGATTTAGGGAGATTAGGATAAAGATGGCAGGTAAAACCACGAGATTTGATGAATTTTACTTAGGATCCAGAGAGTGTTTAGAGAATTAGATTCAGGATGCCATGGGCAGCATTTCAGGATTTCAGAGGACCATTGAGACACAGGAGAGTGTTAAAATGATACTTAAAAAGAGTACCAAGAGACCGGAAGACTGGAAAATTTTTATAGACTGAATAAAAGGGAAAGAGTAAACACAGAGGTGGAAAATCCAGGAGTTATCAGGGATGTTGGTAATGTAGGGGGCTAGCTGAAGGGGAAAATTCATTTCAAATATTATCGAGTGTGAATTCTTAATATTAAAGCAACCATTGCCTAAAACAAATTTCAAGGTGTTGTTTAAAGTTGATCCAAATGAATTCGTTCATTTCATACATTTGTCAAAGAAAGCAATCTTTATTTAATCCGAGACATGCTTATTAAGCTCTGTTTTGGTATCAGCCACTCTGGGGTTGGCACCTGAAAAGATAAACTATGAGGGATATAAAAAACGATCCATCATGGATGTGACTAAGAACTTGCGGCAAGATAAGGCACATACCTAAATATTTAAGGTGCAGGGTAAAAAGTAACAAGGAAGGACTGAAACACCTGGAGGCACCTAAAGTAATCTTGGGGACTCAGGGAAGCAGTGAGATTTGAACTAAGTATTGGAGATGGGTAGAGATGGAAGTAAGTTAAGCATAGGGGAGAGTAAGATCCATTGAGACCCTAGAATGTTTTCATTGTGTTTTTGCTCTTGACTGTGTTTATCCCTATCTCTTGACTAACTCTCTAAATCTGAGGATGTAATTTTTTTACAGAGCCTTATATGGTGTTTTGTATATAGTATCCAGTCATTGCTTGCTATGTGAATTCAATAGAGACATCATCACTGTCAGATTACTTATTTCACAACCTTAATCAGTGCTGTTCTCAGTAATTAGGCAAAAACTTATTTAAAGACTAGAATTTTTAGTTTTCAGTAAAACAGGTAATACAAGTTGTTAACTTCTTGACCTAGTTTTTGAGGATGGCAGATTAGAACTTATAGAAGAATCATACACATATAACTTAAACATTCCTATATATATGGAGACAATTTAAGATAGAAATCATATATGGGGAGATTCTTAGTGACCTTAACTGAACACATTTTCTTTGGGATCTACTTTAAATGACAACATTGAAGGCAAATTTTAGATAGTTATTTTGTGATTATGTAAGTAGTTTATTTTTAAAATATTTGTTCCTTTTAAGAATGAGTAATGAGTTGGCATATAGTTGCTTTAGATTAACCAAGGACTGATTTTTAAAAACTAATATTTTGTAGCTATATCTGTGTATTTGCTTTGAAAAACAGGGACTAAACGAACAGAATAAAAATTACACTAGTATAATTAATTATTTAACTATTTTGAAGAGGTTCTATTTAATCATAATTTTATGATTTAGAATAGACAGAAATTTAACACAGTAGAAAAGAGTAAGGTGTTAATAGGCCAGATACTTTCTTGATCTTGGAGAAGGAAACCATTAATATTTGTTAAAATGGGGTAGAATGATTAAGGTTTGGGAATGGGGATTTATACTAGAAAATAGTTCAAGGAACTAGGAAGGTACAAGATGATTTTTTATCCTTGATTATTTATAAATATTTATGTGTGATTTCATTTGCTCCCCTGCTTTCTAAAATAGTGATACTCAAGACAAATTTGAAGTCAATGACTGTTTTTGTACAAATGTGTTTACCTTGATCCCCAAATTTCTAAAGTATCCAAGTTAACCTAGCTCTTATTTTATAAATGATAGACAGTAGGCAGTTTGTTTGACATGACAGACATTAAGCAGTTTGTTTAAATGACTGGCAATAAATTTTAGAGACAGGTCACCTTTTTTTTTTTTATTAAAAAGTTTATTTTTACATCATTTTGCACATTTTTTTTTTCATCTCAATTGTAATCCCCACGGGTTTCCCATC